CGAGTCGGTCCTGAGGAGAACTCATGAAGGAGAGGGCCGGGGTGGCTTGGTCGGCCCCAGGACAGAAGCTGGCAAAAGATACGTCTTCTCAAACGGACTGGCTCTTCTCCCTTCTTTCTCGCATCAAAAGGCAGAGTTTGAAGTGTACAAACCTATATATTTTTGTATGTAAATATTCCTGCTATTCATTAGCAATGTATTCAGCACACTTCACTTACCTGTGCGCTGCTGTATGGGGAAGTAATTTTGGAGGGGGGGAGGGAATTAAGGAGAAAAAAAAAAAAGGAAAGAAAAAGCTAAAGGCCAGTCTGGTAGGGGATCAAAATTCACCATGAAGAAGGAAAATAAATGGCTCCCACTCGGATAGCCCCACGCCACGGCTTCGTCCCTGCTCCGGCAGCATCGAGTTCAGCCCTTTAATGTTGCAGCCAGGCTCAAAAAACCAATCCGGGCGTTTGCAATCGCTTCCGCGAGCGCGTTTGCTTCCCAGTTGCCCCGAGAGATGAGCGGCGGGGCTGTGGCCTCGCATTCCTGTCCTTGGCAGAAAATAAATGCGTCGAGAACACAGGGCAGCGGCGAGGCTTTGCGGGGCTGGCGTTGCCGTCAGGACGCCGCTGGCAGAGCATCGCCGGGCAGTCGGGTTTCGGCACGTGCCTAAGATCCCCCTTTCCCAGCGAAGAGATGCCAAAGTGCTTTAACGAATCAGGTCCAAAGACTTTCCAAGAGAACCCTACAAAGGCTCAAGCAACCTTAAATCTTTCCGAGCAGAGACCAGTGAAGACGTTAACTGCTCAGCAAGTGCTTATAGTGATTTATATTTTAATAGGAATTGTACATTTATTTATTTTTCCAGACACCATATTTTTAAACCACTAATATTTTATAGTAGATTTTCCTTTTCCTATTTAAAGAACTATTTCCATGGAAAAAACCAGTACTTTTTTTATGTTGAGAACATTCTTTTTGCAAAAAAGAAAAAAAATCAGGTAGGAAATGCAGTGATGAGCATCTTTGGCCTTAATCCTTCCCTTTGTAGACTGTAGCCATAATTGTTAGACCAAAAATAATAATAATAAAAAAAAAAATCTACCCAAGCATTTCCTCCCTCCCTGCTCTTCCTCCCTTCCCCATGCTCCTCTTCTCTCCCCTAAAACAGCTTTAACATCTGACACGTCGTACAAAGAGATTATTGCTCTTACCTTTCGGCGAGAGTTTTACAACCAGCTCAGACGTCCTTGCAAGAGACTTTTCTATTTTCAGATTCACAAGGAATGTGTAAATATTCTAGGACCATTTATCTCCCGCTCAGAGTGCCGTGACCCAGCTGACGAGGTTGATACTGTAACTGTTGCCTCCAGAAGACATGCAGGAGAAGACATAATCCATCAGGGACTGGAGGAGAACCTGCTTCCCAAGGCGGCTACCCGTTGAACCCTGCACATATACTAGAGCTCTTACGTACTGTATAGCAGCATCTCTCACGGGGACAGGAGTCTGATTTACACTGGAATTTACTGAGGAACTGGATTGTAGAGATTATTCTTGCATTTTCCTACAAATATATTTTGAAAGCATCATGTATTTCTGTCAATAAACATTCTTACGTAAAAGCCTTGTTTCTTGGCTGAGTGTAAAGGGGCAGGGGGGAGCAGAGCTTGTGCTCAAGAGCCACAACTAGTTGTTGTGTAGAGGTTACAACTGGCCGTGGTTTGAGCTTATTTGGAAACCCAGAACAGGCTCTGCATGCTCCTGCTAGGAAGAACATGTGAAAACTTTGGATGGGCAGGAGTAAAACCAGCCCAGACCATCAGAGGTAGCCACCCATGGAGGAGCCTGCATTTCCCCATGCAGAAAGAAGTATGATAGTGGTGAAAAACTTCCCTGAATTAAAAAAGCAGAAAACCCAGCGGGGTGGGATGCTCGGTTGATGTGGGTGAGGGCAGCCCCACTATAGCCAGAGCGCCTGTTTGAACTGTTCGTGGCTTTAGGCTCGTGTGGGTAGGAAGGGAGAGGGACCTTGCCCTTATTTCTGCATTTCCTCCTCACTCAGTCCTCGCCTGCAAGCTCTCCTTGCGCTGAGGACAGGCGGTGGAGGAGGGAGCCAAACCACCCTAATGAAGGAGGGCGAGGAGGGTCAGCAGCAGCGTGGGCAGGTCAGCATCTCCATTTGCCTCCAAGTGCCCAAAATAAAACATTTTGCTCCAGATTAAGTTTCCACTTCTGTAAAGGAAGAAGGAGGCGGGAAAAAAAAAAGGACTGGAATATTAAAAGTCGCTGGTTTGTATCAGCCTATGTTTTAACTCCATGTTCCTCCCCAGTAAAGTTCTTGCAACTTCTAGGCTCACCCTGGGTGTATGGGATGCGGACCCAGCCCATCACGGTTCTCAGGGAACGGGGTACGTTCTCAGCTGCTCTGCAGTCGGAGGGACACGGCAGGTTCCTCCAGCAGGACCAGTGCCTGCCGCCCAGACGTAACGCAGCACCGGTTTCACAGCTTCTGCACCACTACGAGACCTTCACAGACATTTTTCCATTCTCGGAAGCAACTGATGTTAAAATGAACAGATCTTAAATGAACACCCTTGCTAGCATATACATTTTTATTAAGAAAAAAAAAATGAACAAAATACATTCTCTCCTTATGTACATTACATACAACATAACTACATTTGTAGATATTCCTCATATGACTCATTCATTTATGTACAGCATGGAGCTCACATATCAACCCAGAAATTATCAAAGATGATTTATGCCAAGGAAGAAAATTAACATTCCGGGCTGAACAAAGATCAGGGCAGGATGGGGAATGACCAGAGTCCAGGAACATTGCCTGTAACCACCACGGGCTCAACACCGGACTAGTCAATGCTTGAGTTGCTTATCACAACGCGTGCGCGGTTCACAGCATTGGTCACCCACAGATGCTCCCTTCCAGCCCAGGGCTGTTCTTGGGTTCAGCTCTCCTGTGGCCAGGCATCCACGACAACAACAGCGGGACAGACACCAGAGGGGATTCAGATGGACACCAGAGTCTGT